CACCACCAACACCACCACCAACACCACCACCAACACCACCACTAACACCACTACCGCCTGACTTTCCTCACTGTGTGTTGAATAGTAGCCCTTTGATTGGCCAATTCCTCCTTCCCTGAAAATCGTATCTTTGTGCATATTCAATAAAACGAAGTGAAGTGAAAAAGAAATTAATTTTTTTTTTCGCCTGATCGAATTTTGTCCTATCAGAATCGGTTCTGAAACAATTCTCATTTGTTCCGTTCTAGGTATGCTTCAGGCTATGGAACATTAAACCTCATTACATCCACCATGGGTGTCTGCCAGGTGACTTACACATATGGCAGATGAATATTCATTTCTGATTTTTAAAAATACAAAATGTGTAAAGTCTTTTTATTGAAACTGACTGTGATAAAAATATGAAATTCGTGCTCAATAGTTTGACAGAACCGAAGAACCCCGGTCACTTGGGACGTAAATTGATTCCCTTATCTAGTGCGTTTGTCTTTTCATTATGCTTGTTGTACACGCTGATCTATTCGATTCTCCAGATCTGGCGAATACCGATCCCAACGCGGTTGAATGTTCCGAATACACGGAACCCGAACTGGAGTATGCACTATTTCTGCATGCGATCAATATGTTCTATCATTTGGTTTGCCACTCCTCTAGTCGAGCCCTATTCTTTTCCGATGGAAATGAGGGTTTTGGTAAGTACTTGTTCAATATCACTTGATTTGTATCCCTCCCCTGTTTTATTGGTCCCGTCAACACTGCTTGTTATCAAGCCTGTGATATATTTATGTCACCTTCTTTGTTAATATTTCTGCCACAAATTGGGTGACAATATTGTACAGACAGCACTAGTTTCGGTCACATTTTGTTCGTTGTCAATGAGGAGTCGTTCAGTATAATTTGAATGTCCATCATCCGCAAAATTCTCTGTTTTCCCCAGCTATCTACACGCTCGGACCGCTCCAGACTCGAAATAAATTTAAAAGAAACAGTAAAAAGCGTAGTGTTCAAACAGTTAATTGATTGTTGTTCCTTTTACTAATCGAATACACTATTCTAGGTTCGGGTACTAACTGACTGATGTCTTTAGAATTATCTGGTTTTAATATTCGAACAATGCTTAACTTGAGAGTACTTACGGGACATCAAGGTGCAGCAGTTTTACACCAAACACTATTCCCTTTTGGATTGTCGTTTAAACATCAATTTTTCCGGCAAACCTTTACGGGAAAACGGGAGAATACAAAACTGCGACAATGCATAAAGAGCACACACTTCTACGGTCATTACATCGAAGAAACATTTGTCGTGCACACTTTATTCTCAACACCCAGGATAATCTACTCCAGTGAAACATTATAGTTCGATGTTCGCTGCATATCCACTGCACTGCACGAAAATGGATACCCTAAAATGTTTATTTCAAAGTATAGAGCGCCGTTTATTAAACCAGAAAAAAGTGGTACCGCCGCAAAAAACCTGTTTTTGTCACCGTGCCGTTTCGATGTGATCAAAATGATAGGCAGATACGGCGCAAGTTGAAACAAGCGATTGAAAGAATCTATAACGCTGCCTTCTTGATAATAATGCACGACCCGAAGTGAATACTCATTGAATCCAATCTAGACAAACCCAACTCTTCATTTGCCTCCTGTGTTTACCTATGCCAATTTACTTGCGGTAGCAAGTGCGTCGGAAAACTAAGAGACGATTGTCTGTCTACTAGGCTAGCAGAGCATGCACCAACGGATTCGGTGTCTAACGGATCCAAGCCTCCGTCCAGTTCGCTCGCCGGATATAAACCGGATTGCTAAGAATGTGACAAACATAGGTACGCCTTTCGCGTTTTGATCCACCAGAAAGGTAGCCGTCTACTACGGTTCACTTAAGCGGCTGCCATTCGACGTTACAAACCCCGATTTATGTAAACAGACCGAATTTGTGACTAGCCTCGTACTCCCTCGGTAAGTGTCACCGTCCTTTTCCTTCTTCTCCCCTCGTCTCACCCTGCAGTGATTCCGCTCCCTGCCTCTAAGCGCAATCCGGTTCGTATTAGTGGCCTTTGGTCTTCTAATTAATTGATTTATCTTCCCCGTGTATGTTCGCTTGTCCCCATACCTGTAACATACCTGTTCCTGTTTACATCTAAGTGAGTTTGAGAAGTGAAACTATTTTTTTCAACTGAACTGCTGTTGAGCCAAATAAAGTGACTGACTATCACTGAAGATGACACGTGAACAAACATGAATTGGCAATTTAGTTCAGCCATGGCATGAGCTGGTTGGCATAGTGGCAACACACATGCCTTCTATGTGATGGATCCGGATTTCGAATCCCAGACGGGACAGTGAACATGCACTATTGATGAGCTCTAATACGAGCAAAACTCGAGTCTAATGCTTCCGGGTGTAAGGTTGAATCAATGAACTGAGGATTGTGCGTGAAGGTGAAATCCGAAGGATTGTCAGTCAACTCGATCAATACCGATGATCTCACACCACTACTCACAAGTAACTGCCACTTACATGAGAACACATACTGTTTGGTCCAGTGTAGTTTAATCGCTACATGATTTTGTACTAACTACGATTGGGAACTTGTGACAGATGTAAGAGTGCCAACGAAAAACTGACACACACTATGAATGCGACAGAAATTTCAACGTACGGATCGGATTAAAGTTTCCTTTTTTTATACTCCAGCTGCACCGGGCTCTATTTCATCTCTTGTGGGCATGATGGTCGATTATCTACGGAATTGTAATCCTGTGGCACAAGGAAAAGACTCCGGTAAGTCGCCGGTTTGACAAAAGACACCGGATTTTTAACAGGCACCATCTGTATTTGGATATATTGGTATTGAGTGTCAATTCCAATCGTTTGCGGTTTGCTGGATCAACTGATTCCCGGTGGATAGAGCAAACTTCCGTCGTTGGAAGATATTACAAAATCACTTTTGCTTTTCACATCACCGTTCATTTCCTATATACACGACGAATTCCTTTTTGAAATCTTGTCAAATCCTCCATCACTCACATGAAATGAAACATTACAGGCAGATCGCTTACGATACCGGTCGTGGGCGGATGAGTCCTGTTGGGGAATTCATCTAGTTGTTTGTGAAAACATCACGACCACCACCCGATTTAAAAGAATCATCACAAAAACAATCGAATGCTTTCTGATAATGTCTGTGATAATGCATCCTTATTTGAGATCTAGTTAAGAATGTTTGCATTAGCCACAACAAGACAAAGCCAAAAAACAACAATTTTTATTCGGTTGACGACCGTTGATCGACCGTCTTGGAAGGTCTTTTCAAGTAAATTAACAAGCGAACATTCAATAAAAACTGAGAGAGAAACCGTATGATTTGAAGGTGTTTTTGATTGGTCTACGTGGAGGTGCACGGGGAGGGGAGGAGAACGGGTAAGGAAAGAGAGCATAGAAGTTTCAAGTTTAACTCACAATTACTTGTGAGTAGTGATGTGGGATAATTGATTTTCAATAATTTCAGCTGACTATCGTTCGATCCAGCCTTGTACATTCGTTGACCAATCAGTCCGTATCTGCAAGGAAGTCCTGACTCGGTGGGAGGCTTTCGATTGGAGTTAACAGTATGTCATCTGTGGCTCCCTTCATTGTTGTCGGGCCACTCTGAACTGATTATCACTGATAACGACACCTGAACAAACATGAATTGGCAATTTCGTTCAGCCATGGCATGAGCTGGTTGACACAGTGGTAACGCACACGCCTTCCATGTGATGGGTCCGGAGTTCAAATTCCGGACAGGATGGTGGATATGCACTATTGATGAGCTCTAATACGAGCGAAATTCGAGTCTATGGTGCTTCTGGGTGTATGGTTGAATCAATGAACTGAGGATTGTGCGTGAAGGTGAACTCAGCTCAAATTACTAAAAACATAGAAGTTGTGAATGAAACAAGAGGTCAAAGAGTTAAGGAACACGTCATAGAAGAAAGGAGATTGACCTCTGAGCCGCTTTGTGGGGTGGCGAGATTTAATGTTGTGTGTTATTAAGCAACGGTGTGTGTGTGTGTGTGAGCTGTTGGTTGTGCAACCGGCATCAAGCCAGTGAACTGATAATTGGGTCCCGTCTGATCGATTGACACAAAGTGGATGGTTGTTGAGGAACAAAAAATGACTTAGTAATTAATCGTTACCTGTATACCTTAAAACCATGTTTCAGAATAATCGGTTTTTTGAAGTCTATAGAGTGTCTCCCAGAAATGGAGTGTAGAGCGATAGCTCAATCCCTCTCATCTTGTAAATGAGATTCGATTGATCAGCTTTTGGTCGCCTGTCCTTAAGTCGCATCAAGAGTGAATGAAGGAAGTTGGCTGCCCGAAATTAGACCCAGAAATTGAAACGCTTCAATATTCGTCGGATGTCTTCTGAGGAATTGCGGCGATAAGGTATGATACTAGTTGCGATCCAATCAGTCTTTTGATTTCAGGTTTTGTAGAACTTTTAAGACATCTTTGAATTTTCTGTCGAAAACTTGGTGGATATCCGTTATTCAGCAATTATCTTGTGACTAATTGAACTTCTGTGCGTTTGTCTTTTTCGTTTGAGTTGAACTGATTTGCTAATCTAGGTTAATCCAAGCATTTCTATAAGGATTTAAGGCTATGAGCACGAATCACCATTTCTTCAAAAACATCTGCTCAAAATTTGAATCTGATACCGTGAAAATTATTCTCATTTTGTTCACGTTTTACTCTTTAGGTACCACTCCATTTGACATGGTAGTTCTCTGTTTAATGGAGTTGGCCAAACACCCACGATACGGTGCTAGCTGTTTTGGTAGAGATATCGAGAATTCTATCGATCAACTTGCCGAAAAATCTCAACCGATCAACATTCTGTCCCTCGGACTGATGGAACTATTTCCTGTCAAAGTACGCTCTACATTTATCCGGTTAACGCGGAATTCTGCTAACTTTTGATTTGATATGATTCGCTACCTGGAAGTTTTTTTACTGAGAAGGATGAGTATGATCAATAAGAAAATGGATGTTTGGTATCTTTTGGCTGGTATTCACTTATTGTCGGGAAATGAAGCATGCTTCAGTCTTCTGTCTGACAAACCTCATGGCAAATCTTCAAAGAAGAGCAAAGTAGATAGTAATATTGTGTTGCACTGAACCTGCACCACTGACAACACATGATTTTATTTTTGCTTCATCGCATTTCTAAGTGGCAATTTATTCTGGAATGTTGATCTTGAGTCGCCATTGTCCAATTCCTTACTCTTTGCGGACCCTATTCCGGTACATCCAGAGCTCTTTCAAATGTCAAAGCCAACGCACAAGCATCACAAAGCACCAAAGTAGAAAGTATCAAAGTTTGAAAGACTTATTTTGNTAGTTCTGTAGTAGTCTTGTAATTATCAAAAATCTGTGGGAGCGATGAGTATCTTTTAAATCCCAGTGTGGTATCAGGAGAAATGCATAGCAATCATGTCTACTGGGTACCAGGGGCTATCAGTCCACTAGGATAATCACGAAGCTTGAATTGCTTTGTCCCGTTATAAATCATCGGAAACTGGATCACTATTTGTTGAGGCTTGAACTCCGTAATGGGGTGGACAATTATGTATTATATCTTTGTAAATGTGCAGAATGTTTGTAGGTCACTTCGGATAGGCAGGGCGCCAGAGCATCGTGCCCAGAGGCGAATGATGATTTGTCTGGATTTGTTTGATGTGCATTACTGGTGACTCCTAGCAAGGATGAAACATCTGTACTACTCTCCTACGACCATGCAATAAATAGTAACGCGTTGAATCATCGTGGAGGATTCAAATTTGCACAAAATTGTTATATTCAAAGGAAAGGGAGAGATCAAATGTTTCATTTCAATTCATGGTTAACCGATTGTTGAAAACAAAGTTCGGTAGGCGAAACTTGCTGTTTTTCGATAAATTCCTCAACGGGCCATTACAATTACATACGGTTATTTGGGTTCATCGATCTGGTTTTGATCGCATCAGGCTAAGTACAGAATGTATGCCAAGACTGTTTACCTGATGCTCATCTCGATTAGTTCGTTGGTGCGTCCCCCGGGGGTGGAGTAGATTTCTTCATCCGAAGCCAGGGCAAGGCTAGAGCCCGAACGAACTGCTTTTGGTTACACAGGGGGGGGGGCGTCCAATATTTGGATAGCTATCGCCTCGGCTGTGCATAGAATGAATGATAAACCGAAGGTGTTTCGGCAGAGATGATGGCGAGTGGTAAATCGTGCGGAAAGCCTGATCAACATTGATAGTGTGTCGTGTCTCCAGGTTATGCTGACAGATAGCACTTTTCGCCGTCCTAGTTTCACCGTGTCTCAACCAGCCGGGGTGGTGTTCTCG